GACGTTTCTGGGGTGTCTGACTACCCTGCGGTCCTAACAACCGAACTCTAATACTATCGCATATAACGTATCATGATAGCATATAACATATCAGATAGTAGCAAACCTAGATGATATCACAAAGACAATCATCTATCATACATCTCCTACTGGTGGGCCGGCATTGTGGCCTTAGACCCACCACTACTGGAAGGTAACTCACCTGATACTGCAAAACTGCTGCTGCTAATCCCTTTGACCGCTACCTGACCTCTGTCTTCGAACTGCTGCTCCACTAGCTCCTCGAGCTACCAATATCAATATAAAACTTAGTCTAACTGACCTCCAATGGTCAACTAAGTCAACTATTACCAATGCCAAAGTCCCAGTCACATTCAACCTTCCAGGCCAACCCTACTCGCCGAGTTCATATATTTAGAGTTATTCCTGTTCGCGACTCGACTCGCCGAGTCAGCCACTGACTCGCCGAGTCTACTGATTTCCAAGTCTTGTCCTATCCAACTCACTGAGTCCTGGCTCGACTCCTAACTCAAGTCTTAACTCGAAGGGTTTGGGACCACGCGACCTGAATCGTCGAGTCCAAGAACAGACTCGCCGAGCACAAGGCAATCACCAACCAACTCTCCGAGTTGTTCATCCAACTCGCTGAGTTCCTGCCCATCTTCATTCGACTCGTCGAGCTGTTCATCCCACTCGTCGAGTTCCTCCTCATCTTCAAGCTACTCGCCGAGTCCACTCGAAGGACTCGCCGAGTCCATTCGGTTCTACATACATGTAGAGGACCTTTGAGTCATGCATGGACTCCAAACTGTAGATCCACTCTTCTAAGGTCTATTCCTTACGTAAAGTGGCAAACTTTACGTGTGGCTGAGGAGATCTAGGCTCAAAACACTATAAACTAGGGTTTAAGACAAAAGGGGCTCAACAATCAACCCAACAACTGATGCTTTATGAGTCTCTAGGCCATGATACATTTAGATCTGAAGTAGCAACTTCAGATCTGAGCTTCCCACTCGAAATGGGTCTTAATCAACCATAAAACCCCCAAAACTCATAGCAAAATAGATCTAGATGCAAGGAAGGGAAAATGGCAGCTTAATACCTCCAAGAAGAACACAAACTGAAGTAGATCTCGGATCTACACCTCTCTTTTGAAGCCACCTTCCTGATCTTCAAGTCCCTTCCAAGATTTCCTTCCCCCAAAGCTATTTCTCTCAAATGATGGAGGCTCCCACGAATCTAGGGTTTACAGTTTCTCTAGGATGATATGGAGGCTGAGGGAGGGGCATAACTCCCTTTTATATAAGATACAACTCCCAGAATCAGGGTTTTCCTCGCACAGACCAGACTCGCCGAGTCTCCTTGGTCGACTCGCCGAGTCGGTCACTTACTCCCCAACCCGGATCCCGCTCGGACTCGCCGGGTCCCTCCTTGGACTCGCCGAGTCGACCCCTAAACTTAGGGTTTTCTTTCCTTTCTTGGTCTTCGAAACTTTGGGTGTTACAACAACACTTTCCATGTGTCTCAGTTGAGGAAGTGTTTGGTGGATGAGTCAGCATTTGTTCCCTTAGAAGATATTCAGGTTGATAGCAGCCTGAATTATATTGAGAATTCGGTCGCGATTCTGGACCGGAAGACAAAGACCTTGAGGAACAAGGTAATTCAGCTAGTGAAGGTGCAGTGGCAGCACCGGAAGGGGTCTGAGTGGACGTGGGAGGTTGAGGATGAGATGAGAGAGCACTACACGGAGTTATTTGCAGATTCAGCCGTAGCAGACTTCGAGGACGAAGTCTGAGTCAAGTGGGGGAGAATTGTAACGACCCGTCTCTGGTATGTTGTTTTCATGTTATTTATTTAGAAGTTTTCAAGAGGGACTCGACGAGTCTATAGCCCAACTCGTCGAGTAGAGACGGGATTTCGAGCACGTGTAAGTCGACAACTCGACGAGTCCATATTCGGGACTCGGCGAGTCCGCCTGCCAGGAAGAAATCCTAAATCCCCGGGTTTGCTCACTATTTAAGCAATGTTTTGTGCCCCAACTCGCCTCCTTCACCCTCAGAGAGCTTGTGAGAAACCCTAAACCATTCCTTGTATGATTAAAGTGTTTTGTGTGGATTTTTGAAGGATTGAAGAAGAAGAAGAAGAAAGGATCAAAAAGAGGAAGTGTAGAGCAAAGATCCAAGGCCAAAGTCAGAGTTCATTGAGGTATATCTCGGAATTATTCTGTTTTTTGCTTAAAACCTCCATTAGAACACCTCTAAGGCTAGTTTAATGTATTTTCCAAGCTTTATAGTTGTATGGATGGCTTGTTGGATCGAGATATCCCTAGATATGTTCATTTAGGAGCTTTAAAGCCCTGATCTATTTCCTTTTTCGAGTTGCCTTGCATGAGAACCCTAAATCTAGCCTTTATTATGCCTTTTGAGCCTTTTAATCTTCATGGATGCTTATGGGCACGTAAAGATAGAATCTTTACGTGTTAGTCGAGCATAAGAAGCCCAGATCTACAAGTTATATGCGCTGGATTCAAGCAGAATCGAGTTTTAGTAACTGTATGCATGCGACTCGGCGAGTCGTTCTTCGGACTCGGCGAGTCGAGCCGCGAGTCCCCGATTCTTCCCCTTTTTAGTGATTCCGAGTGGGGACTAGTGAGTAGTAGAATGGACTCAGTGAGCCGGAGGCCAGACTCAGTAATGGAGGGACTCGACGAGTTGTTCATACAACTCGGCGAGTCTAAGGCAATCTTCATAGATTCAAGAACAACTCGTCGAGTTGTTCATATAACTCGACGAGTCGGATGCAGATAGTCTGAGTTCTAGAATCGAAAGGGAACTAGTCGAGTTGATGTCATACTCGACGAGTAGCAGCGAACAGGGTTGAGAAGTGAGAGTAGGGACTCGGCGAGTTGGCGGCCCAACTCGGCGAGTTGGCGGCCCAACTCGGCGAGTCAGGTCAACTGTAAGTTGACTTTGACCGGGAGAGTTGACTTTAGCCAGGGGTAAAAGAGTCATTTTACCCCAATGCAGTTATTAGTATTTGATTGAGTGTGTTTGTGGAATTGTAGCCGAGGAGATACCGGAGCAGCAGCAAATAGCTTCTAGAGCCATACACTCAGCAGCCAGTTCACGAGGTGAGTTTCCTTCCAGTAGGAACGGGTATAAGGCCACCATGTCGGCCCGTTTAGCTAGCAGTAGTTTCCGGACCTCGATCCGATGCAATAGTTAGTATGTTTGACGCCTTAGTGGCTCAGACAGGTTTGCGTGTTATGTGTTGTTGTGTTAGTTGATATGTTTATGCTATGTTATGTTCAGTAGTTCCGGACTTCTGTCCGATGAAGTCAGTTCCGGACTTCGGTCCGATGCAGTCAGTTCTGGACTTCGGTCCGATGCAGTTAGTTCCGGATTTCGGTCCGATGCAGGAGGCAAGGCCTCAATAGTTCCGGACTTCGGTCCGATGCAGAGGGAAAGGCCCTGGTTAGTTCCGGACTTCGGTCCGATGCAGTGGGCAAGGCCCAATAGTTGTTTTATGTTTGTATGGGATGTGGTAATTTGGGGGAGCTCACTAAGCTTCGTGCTTACAGTTTCAGTTTTGGTTTCATGTACTTCCGCAAGCAAAGGGAAAAGCTCGGGTTGATGGCATCGCACACACCACAGCTTCAGTTTTTGTCCTGGGAGATTGTTTTGATACTTAGTTTGATTTGATACAATTGTATCACGACATTTTATTATGGTTTGAGATATTTGACGTATGGATTTATGATATGACGTTCAACATATGATTTTATTATATATATATATATATATATATATATATATATATATATATATATATATATATATATATATAAAATTGAGTTGTATTTTGGGATGTTATAGACTCGTCGAGTTGCCCTTCAAATTTACATTTTTAGCCCTTCAACTCTACTCTTGATATTCCGGGATGTTACACTTTTCATGGATATGAACACTTTGTTTTTGGTTCCTTAAAGGAAAAAAAAGAAAAGAAAGAAAGAGAAAAGAAAAAAAAAATTATTAATCTTCCTTTCTTCCCATTTGGAAAGACAATTTATAGATGAAATTAACATGAATCATCTTTTTTTTCTAATAAATAAACTAAGGAACAATGATCTTTCCAAATTTCGCCGTTTCCTTTTATTCTCTCGTTTAGTTAAACTATGGACCAGAATGTAAAAAAAAAAAACCAATGAAGCTTTAAGAAACTAGAACTTTTTAGTTTTTGACTATATATTACTCTTACTATAAAATCTTTGCACATTGTTTTCACCAAAGATTATTTTATGACTATCAGTAGGGAAAAATCAACGAAACTTTGAGAAATTAAAAATTTTCAATTTTTATAGCATGCACTTCTTTAATTCTCATATAATACAAAGTTATATTTGATTTATCTTTGTAATGGCTTAAGATGGTTGGAAACTATGGTGGTGATGTTGGACAACTGAAGAAAGAGAGGTGGGTATGTTGTAACTTGCAAATTTATACTGATTAAAATTGTAATTATATATATATTAATTCACAAACGAGTTGGTGAACAGGAACTTTTCGTAAATTAGAATTTTGCCACATGATTACTCCTTTTTACATATCTGCCACATTAATTTTTGCTTTATACGGTTCTAACCCCTGTTCTTTAACTGATTTAACACATTGAACACAGGGTTTACGAAATTTAATCTGCACATATACTCAGTGCCGCCCTTCTCTTCCAATAACATTCAGTGCTGCCCTTCTCTTGCAATATATTTTACCCACCGCCTTTATCTTTCCTTCTTTATTTGTTTTTCCCACGTAAGGTCAAACGTTCCTTCACCATTCGTCAAACCTTCCTACTGCTTCTCAACTCTTCTTCCTTTTTCTGTCGATCACTTCTTCAGGTTTGTTTCCTTTGTTTAATTTTTTTTTGTGGTCGCTTCTCCTCGACATTTTTTTTATTTCTGTTCTTCGTTGTGTATTGTGTGTTTTTCGTTTCCTCTTTGGATCATGGCTCTTCCTTCCACTTCCCGTTTGGAATTCCGACAAGGGGTTTCGTCGTCGGCTTTACCTGCTTCTAAACGGGGACATTCTCCTCGCCTGGCTATGTTTCCTACGGTTAATTTGCCCTCGCCTTTGCCTGTTTATGATGACTTGGGTGATTCAACTTTCATCTGTCAATTTTGTTCCGCCTTTTTCTGGTATGCTGAAAGGGTTTTGTATTTATCAGAAAAGGATCGTCCCTGTTATACGCGATGTTGCAGGTCTGGTGCTGTTATATTGCCTTACCCTCTTCTTCCTCCTCCACAATTATCTTCTTTGTATAATTGTGCTTCTTTTAGGCAGAATATCAGAGCTTACAATAGCATGTTTTCTATGACATCTTTTGGGGTTTGTGGTTGATGACGATATTAACAGAGGTGGAGGCCCTTATGTGTTTAAGGTATCTGGTCAGCTGTCACATTCTATAGGTTCTTTTTGCCCTAATGATGGTAAGCCTCCGAGGTTTTTGCAGTTATATATGGTAGACACGCAGCATGAGTTGTCTAATAGGCTGGCAGCTTTCCAGGACCCTACGAAGCAACCTTTGGATCCAGGAATTGTTGAGTTATTAATGGCTATACTTACACTACATAACGAATATGTACGTACCTTTAAAACAGTGAAACAAATTGCTGAAGAAAGAAATTTAGATGAATATGTGGTTTGTATTTTCAATGATGTTCCGGATAGACGCTACACTCCTCCCGCGCCTGGTACTTTGGGATGCATTGTTTTTGGTGACGACTGTGTCAGTAGTAGATACGATATACTTATACATTCTAAGGGTGGTCAGGCACAGCGGGTTAGTAACCTCCATCCAAGTTACATGCCACTGCAATACCCTCTGCTTTTCCCGTATGGTGAGGACGGGTGGTCACCTAGGCTGAAACTTTTCAATGAATCGGGTTCCAAAGCTAGAAACTTAACAGTGAACATGTACTATAGTTATCAGATACACGCACGTTGTAATATACACTCTCTTATACTTAATTCATGTAGATTGTTTCAACAGTTTTTAGTTGATGCTTATACATGTATCGAACAGTCTCGTCTTGAATTCTATCAAAATAATCAGGAACATCTTAGATCTGATTTCATCAGTGGGATCTATGATGCACTTTCTAACGGAGATACAGAAAGTCGTTCTGTTGGTAGACGTGTGCTTTTGCCCCCTTCTTTTGTCGGTGGCCCCCGATACATGTACAGCCACTATCAAGATGCCCTCTCCATTTGTAGAGAACATGGGAATCCACAATATTTTATCACCTTTACATGCAATGTGAAGTGGCCAGAAATTAGACGATACATGTTGCTCCATAATCAAAACGATGTACATAGTAGAGCCGATATCATTTCACGTGTTTTCCACATGAAAGTAAAGACCTTTATAAGATTTCTTAAAGAAGACAAAACATTTGGACCTGTAGTAGCACGTAAGTCGTATATATTAATTCTTAGTTAAATATATATACATTATTTTTGTCTCTTTCATTTCTGGGTTACTTCACAATAATTTTAAACGACTTTTTTTTGTAGACCTGTACACAATTGAATTCCAAAAGCGGGGCTTACCTCATTGTCATACGCTGTTGTGGGTTGCTGCATCACATAAAATACAAGAGCCTTCTGACATTGATGCATTTGTTACTGCTGAACTGCCAGATCCATCATCAGAACCATTATTATACCACACCATTACAACGTGTATGATCCATGGTCCATGTGGTTTGCTAAATGTAAATGCTCCATGTATGAAAGATGACAAATGTAAGAAAAAATTTCCAAAACCATTCCAACACTGTACAACCTTTGACAAAGAGGGTTATGCACATTATAAGAGAGATTGTGTGGCACACCATACACTACAGAATGGGATCCAGGTAGATAATAGATATGTTGTCCCATACAATAAAAGGTTATGCAGTCGTTTTGACGCTCATATTAATGTGGAGTACTGTGGTTGGAATATGATGATAAAATATTTGTTCAAATATGTTTCCAAAGGAATGGAGCGGGTGAGGTTTGTTGTTCAGAAAAATGTGTCGGTTGGTCAACGTACCACCTCTTCACAACACATTGTCGTCGACGAAATACGAAATTTTGTTGACGGTCGTTACCTTTGCCCTCACGAGGCTGCCTGGCGTATTTTTGATTTTCCCATTCATGAGCGCGAACCATCAGTCACGATACTCCCAGTTCATCTCCCAGATAAGCAGACAGTTTACTTCAAAGAAAACACTCTCATCCATGATGTTGTTCAACATCCAGATTTCGGTTACAGTCTACTATTAGGATGGTTTGAAAATAATAAGTGGGAATCATTAGGAACAAATCTCACTTATGTTGCGTTTCCCACAAAGTATTGGTGGGATAAGGATGCAAAAATCTGGAAACGAAGAAAACGTATGACAAGCAGTGCGATAGGTAGACTTATATTTGTGCACCCTTCTGCAGGGGAATTGTTCTATCTACGAATGTTGCTTTGTCATCAGGTTGGTTGCACATCCTATGAGGATATCCGTACCGTTTGCAACAAGGTCTATCCAAATTTTCGTGCTGCATGTGATGCATTGGGCCTGATTGGAGAAGACAAAGAATGGATGACCGCATTTACTGAAGCATCTGAGTGGGCAACTTCATTCCAACTAAGATCACTTTTCTGTCGCTTGCTTCTTCACTGTGACGTTAGCGATCCTATGTCCCTGTGGGAAATTGGATGGAGAAAAATGAGTGACGACTTACTGTACAATATCAATTCACAGAAATTGGGATCAAATTTACATATAGGTGATGCTCATTTACAACAATTGGTTCTGTTTGAGCTGGAAGGAATTCTTCAGTCCTCGACTCCTTCGAAATCGGTCACTGACTTCCATCTGCCAAACCAACGGAAGAGACAATTAGACTACTGCAAAATCGACTGATTCTAGAAGAGACATCATATGACACAGACACACTCAAAGTAGACCACCAACGCATGCTATCACAATTAAATAGTGAACAACTCCACATTTATAAGTTGGTTGTCTCGTCTGAAAAAGACGGACAACAGGTTCTCCTGTTCATTTACGGACATGGCGGACAGGCAAGACATTTCTTTGGACTACATTACTTGCATACTTCCGCTCTATTGGGAAGATCGCACTTGCTGTGGCTGCATCGGGCATAGCATCATTGTTGCTACCATCGGGTAGAACTGCTCATTCCAGATTTAGTATACCGATTGACCTTTCGCAAAAAGCCGCATGCAACATTTCAAAGAAAACCCTACTTGCAGAGTTATTGAAACGTACGTCTATCATTATCTGGGATGAGGCCCCAATGAATGATAGGCGTTGTTTCGAATGCCTGGACCGTTCCTTAAGAGATATTCTAGATTGTGATACTAAGGTGTTTGGTGGAATGTCCGTACTGTTAGGAGGGGATTTTCGTCAAACATTACCTGTTTCCCCAAAAAGTACAATCTCACATATCATTAGTTTGACTTTACCCAAATCATACCTATGGCCATGTTTTACAGTTTATAAGTTAAACCATAATATGCGTCTAATGAGTACGGGCACCTATTCAGAATCAGAGCTATCTGTATCAGAATTTGCAGCATGGTTACTAAACGTTGGGGATGGTGTTTTAGGAGAATCAGATCCTATTGATAAAAAAGACACAAAATGGATTGAAATACCCTCTTCCCTCACTATACTACCAGGAGAAAATGCATTGAAAAATCTTATAAATTTTGTATATGGTGACGGGATTCTTCTCAATCCTTCTCCATCTGTATTGGCAGGTAGGGCGATTGTATGTCCAAAGAATGATACGGCGAACATAATAAACGAGCTCGTCCTAGAACTTACCCCTAACAAGACAACATCTTATAGAAGTGTTGACACAATAGAATCTAATGGAAACCAATCTTTAGAATTTAACACTTTCTATCCAGTCGAATACCTGAACGGGCTCACCTTTCCTGCTATCCCACCCCACAAACTATCACTGAAAAATAACACTCCTATTATGCTAATAAGAAATATCAACCAAAGAGAAGGTTTATGCAACGGTACACGGTTAATTGTTACACAGTTATTGCCAAACGTGATACAGGCAACAATAATTACTGGCACATCCATCGGAAAACAAGTGTACCTGCCCCGGATAAAATTTATACACAAAAGCCATGAAATCCCTTTTACCTTCATTAGAAAGCAATTCCCAGTCAGGGTTTGTTATGCCATGACAATTAACAAAAGCCAGGGTCAATCACTATCTAAAATCGGAGTTTTTTTGCCGGAACCAGTTTTCACACATGGACAACTTTATGTTGCCCTCTCTCGTGCTACATCTCCACAGTCTATTAAAGTACTGATACAATCTGATGTTGGTGGTGCACATAGCAAAACAAAAAATGTTGTCTTTAAAGATTTCTTGCGCACAATTACTATTTGTGAGGTCGAATGCATATCCATCTTTTGTAAACATAAATCATCTTACATCAGACTCTTGCTGCCTTTCTGTATTACAATAACCAGCAAAATATGAATATATTTTCTTATAGAACAAATTGCAATCCCTGCCTGTCTTCCGAGTCTTGTATCATATTGATGTTCTACAAACATATATTATAATACATCACATCTTTATTGATTGATCATATCATAGTACATCTGTAAACATATACAATTTTCCTTGCAGAAAAACATCTAACATCCAGTTTTTTTCTCAAACCTTGTGTCAGCCACATGTCTGAAATATTCACTGCAATCTCAGAGCTGGGGTATGCATCTCCGGGAACAGCACTGCAGGTACGCATTCTCCGTACATGGACACCACAAGTCCGAGGTCATGAAACCTGGTTTTTAGCGGTCGACAAATATGTAAGTTTCTGAACCATCTTATTAATATTCATCCATTCCATTCATAAACTCACTTCCACGTGCTTCCTACTAATATATTAGGGTGATGCAATCCAAATTCTTGGTCAAAGAAAGGATCAAGGCTTTGTACAATCTGCTCTTGCTATTTCTAAATGCTACACGTTGACTAAATATGGATGTGGAGAACCAGACACATACCAGAAATGGTTACACAATCCAGTATACATCGCTGTTGGCACCGCGTCCTGTATTACCTCTATCCCAGACACAGTTACTATTCCAACACACTGGTTTAACTTCATACCAAAAAGCCAAATACCAGCTTATATCAACCAATACCCAGGTATTATATTACATAAATAGACCACAAAATATTGACATAACAATACATGTTTTTTTACAAACTACTTTCAATATTAATATGTTGTACATACCTCTTACACAACACGTATGTAACATATTAGTTGTCATTCATTGTGCAGATTTCTTAGGAGTTTTCGTTAAACTGGTGGCCTGTATTAAGAAAAACGATGAACCTTACCTGCTCCTCATTCTAAGGAATGAATTGTAAGTGTTGCACCTTTTGAAAATATACATATATACTAATTACCATACTTAAAACATGCAATCAACAGTGGTGAAGATATTGCGATAAGCTTGTGGAAAGAATGCACTGACGCACCTTCAAAATTTAATCGGAACGCAATTCAGAATGCACCTGCTCCTACTGTCATTGCTGTCACAAACGTCCGAATCATGGATTATGGTGGTACGTTTGATGAAAAACCAATGTGTATTATTACTGATACAACTACCAATAAAAGAATCTAAAATAATCACAAAAACTTCATTTCAAGGTTCATTAAGATTAGGAACTAGTAGTGCAACCCACATATACGTAAATCCACCTATCAAAGAAACAGATACACTTCTGGACAGGTACCGTTCTAAAAACAATATATTATAATCATGTTTATGTCTATACTAACAGTCTCTAAAATTCACAGCTACAAGATAAATGTTGCTTCAATACCTCTGTTTGGACTTCCAGTGCCACTTACAGAGATAAATGAGAAAAAACATTCAGATCTCTTGGTACACTTATACTCTGTCAAAGTTATATCCACCTTCCCTTTATCAATATTATCATATATATTATAGATTTTGATTCTTTAACAGGAAAAAACTTTTACAGCAGAGGCATCCATAATAGAGTACGTTTTTTCAGATTATTGGTACCAAGTTTTCTGTCCACAGTGTAAGATATCAACACTAAAACAAGGAAAGGACTGGTTCTGTCCATCACACGGAACGATCACCTCTCCAACTCCCATGTAAGTCACAACACCCTCAAAACAAAAATTGAAATATATAAACAAATTCTATGAACTCATATCATTCATGCACACAGGTACAAGCTTATGGCAACAATTACGGACCCAACTTCCTCAATGACGGTTACCTTATCTGACAACGCTGGCCAGAAAATATTTGGAACAACAGCAGATAAACTCATACTAGAAGGCGACCCAAACCATAGGAAAAAATTGCCCAACATTATAAAAGAGACTGAAGGTATCACAAAAAAGATGAAATTAAGGATCACAAACACGTCAACTGAAAGGAACATCCGTTTCATAATAACTGATATCGAAGACAACTCTTCTCAATCATCATCAATAACAACCCCACCTTCAGAAAATACATCCTCCTCTAATGTTCCTCATAAAACACCTACGTGTTCATCCGCACAAAATCAACCCAAAGTCAAGAGGGCATTAAATTTTGAAAATACAGGTAATACTCATTACACGTTAAACAAGTATACCAAAAAAAACAACTGATTGTTAACATTACATCACAGGTATGGACAAATCTGATGCAGGCCCGAAACGAGCACGTCGGTCGCAATAAAGACAATGGCTTTGTGTACCAGTTCTATATTCTTAACCCTTTGTTTATCTCCACTTCTTATTACCTCTGTAGTACCAACCCTTTTACTACTATTCCTACTAACTTAAAAACCATATCATATTTTGCGTATGTAATGTAACCTTATAAAATTACCATGAATATATCAACAGTGTTTACTAGCAGTGCTTACTGAGTCCTATAAAATATTAGATTATTAAAAAAAATCACAACATTTATGTTACTCATAAAACAAATTACAACATTACACATGTACTATTCCTTTACAAAATTACCATGCATATCTCCCTATCTAATAAACAAAACCAACTGGACACGTGTCATTACAATCATCCATTTTTCGCCATATGTTAAATTACTCTATTACCCCTTCAGCATCCTTTCACGTATCATTAGGTAATAGATAAAATAGGTAATTAGGCATGGAATTGAATTAGATTAGATTATATATGGAATATATGGAATATATGGAATATGGAATTTCACGTAGCATTACAAATTGAATATGGATGGAAATAATGATATTGTATAGAAATCTTTGGAATATTGAATCTGGAAATATTGATATTTTCTATTTTGAAATTTGAATATGGAATATCTGCTGTATACATTAAATCAATTCCGTTACATGCCCGATTAAGAGCATCTAAAAATGGTATGCATATCAATCAATTATTATGCGCATAACATACTATATCAATCATATTCCGCCTCAATTACATAATTCAATCTTTACGACAGTCTATGCATCTCGATTCTGCTTCTTAATTTCGAATATTCAATCAGCAACTTCAATCTTTCGGTGAGTTTCTCATGATTATATATGATTGCTTCTCAATGTTTGTGTTAATCGTATAATTGAAATTTTTTTTCTTCTTCTGCGACTTCAATTTTGCTTCTCATTGAATTTGTTAATCAAGGTTTCTATTTATCTTTGATTCAGAAGTTGTTTATTAATTATTTTCTATCTTAAATTCTTTATTCGATCCACTCAATTGATCATCAATGTGTATGTGTATGTGTAAAAATAAGCTTCTCTTACGTATGTCTGTGTTAATTCCGTATTTACCCTTGGTATCAACATCAAGATCAATTTTCGTTATTTTAGTTTTCACTTATTTACCTGTTATAACATGCTTCTTTCAAACAAGTAATTATAACAAAACAGTTAGCATTTCTTTTTCTGTCAAATTTCTATAAAATACCTATATAAATTTTGAATCACACTTTGCACTTTCTGTTTTATGGCTGTTTATAGCATCTAACGTTTGTTTTCTGTCAAATTTAGCATCTTATTTGTGTAAAAATAAGCTTCTGTTACGTATGTCTGTGTTAATACTATATTTTGGAATTGATCATCTTTTAGTTTATTTTTCTAAATATATGTTTTATTGTCTATATGTACGTATATGTTTATATCTGTTTTTGAAAAGTATGTTTGCAAGTGATACAATTAAATATATAAATCAATCAGTGCTTTACGATTTTCCTGTTTATATCCTAATTTTTTTGTTAAATATACAAGTTTTTTTTGTTTAGTTTTCGATTTTTAGTTTTTTTCTCATTATATACCCTTAAGGGTATATCAGTAAATATGTAATTTTCTCATTGTTTTCTTGGTAACATCTACACTTAAATGATAAACAAAAGAATTGATTATTTCGTCTGATTTATCAAACCGTTTATATAATAAACAAAAAAGTATCAATTTCTTTTTGAAGTTCCTGTTACACTATATCCCATTTTTAGTAATTTATTCTCAAAAAACAATGCTATAATCTGTAATTTATCATCTTTTAGTTTAATTTTCTAAATATATGTGTGGTTGTCTATGTGTGTGTATCTCTTTAAAAATTCTGCAATTTCATCATTTTATGACCCCCATTTGTGAAGTTGAGTATTTATTTCCAAAAATGCGAAACTCCAGGGACAATATTTGAAAATTTCTGTTTTCTTCCCCAATTCGCATTCTACTGTGAAATACTTCGCATCTCATTCTTACACCCTTCGCATCCCTTCGCATTTTAACCTAATTAATCAAATGCGAACCACAAAATTTTCATTCCAGATGCGAACACAGTTTAGTTCTTGAACTCTAAACTTGCGAAATCAAAAATTCATATGTTGAACCCATATGCGAATATTAACCCAATTGACTTCAAATTGATTCACAGATGCAAACACTCGATTGTTTTACTTTCGCAAAATGAGCATCAACAACTCCACAATCGAGTTTTTAAATTCTTGCAAACAACAATTTCACAGTCCTTGACTTCGCGTTTTTCTTCACGAATCATCCCTCAATCATCAATCCAATTGCGAATCAAAACTCATATGTTCTTGCTTTATCGATTCATCGACTACACTCATACAAATGCGAACAATACTCAATTTCAAAATCGATTGAAACTTATAGCAAAGCTAAATCCAACTTCGCATTCAAAGCAGCGTTATTGATTGCATTCATGAAATACTAACAAGATAATATATTATAATACAAATATACATATTTTAGGTGGTGAAATCGTAACAGCCTAACAATTTGGTATGCAACTTTATTAAATCAATAAAAAAAGTTATGCAAATTGGAAAAATAAATAAAAATATATCTTTTGTTGTTTTAATTAAGGAAATAAATATTTTATATGAATACTCACCTGGAAAAACGCATATTATAATTGTCTAATTTAATCGTAACAACCTACCAATGTACTTTCTTCTTGACTGTTTGATTGTTTTTTTCTATGTGCTGATTATAATTGTCTAATTTAATGTAAATTTTTTTTTTTAACTTGCAAGGTACAATGGAACATATTACTCCTATAAAGGAAATTGACTCAATCAAGGACGATTTCACAATTAAAGTTCGGATCATACGTCTTTGGACTCAAAAGTCAAGAACAATGTCTTATAATTGTCTATATCCCATTTTTAGTAATTTATTCTCAAAGAACAATGCTATAATCTGTAATTTATCATCTTTTAGTTTAATTTTCTAAATATATGTGTGGTTGTCTATGTGTGTGTATCTCTTTAAAAATTCTGCAATTTCATCATTTTATGACCCCCATTTGCGAAGTTGAGTATTTATTTCCAAAAATGCGAAACTCCAGGGACAATATTTGAAAATTTCTGTTTTCTTCCCCAATTCGCATTCTACTGTGAAATACTTCGCATCTTCATTCTTACACCCTTCGCATCCCTTCGCATTAATCACCTTCGCATTTTAACCTAATTAATCAAATGCGAACCACAAAATTTTCATTCCAGATGCGAACACAGTTTAGTTCTTGAACTCTAAACTTGCGAAATCAAAAATTCATATGTTGAACCCATATGCGAATATTAACCCAATTGACTTCAAATTGATTCACAGATGCAAACACTCGATTGTTTTACTTTCGCAAAATGAGCATCAACAACTCCACAATCGAGTTTTTAAATTCTTGCAAACAACAATTTCACAGTCCTTGACTTCGCGTTTTTCTTCACGAATCATCCCTCAATCATCAATCCAATTGCGAATCAAAACTCATATGTTCTTGCTTTATCGATTCATCGACTACACTCATACAAATGCGAACAATACTCAATTTCAAAATCGATTGAAACTTATAGCAAAGCTAAATCCAACTTCGCATTCAAAGCAATGTTATTGATTGCATTCATGAAATACTAACAAGATAATATATTATAATACAAATATACATATTTTAGGTGGTGAAATCGTAACAGCCTAACAATTTGGTATGCAACTTTATTAAATCAATAAAAAAAGTTATGCAAATTGGAAAAATAAATAAAAATATATCTTTTGTTGTTTTAATTAAGGAAATAAATATTTTATATGAATACTCACCTGGAAAAACGCATATTATAATTGTCTAATATCACTATTCTTCATTTTTTCTAAACTTTCATATCTTTTTTTTGTTACAAATTAAAAACTATAATTATATTTCAATTTATCACCCGTGGATTTCCACGGGTTTAAACCTAGTATCAGCATAAAAAAAATATCCACTGCAACATACCAACATTACTCATTCTTTAAAAAGTAATGACTACCTTCCTTACTTGTACTAAAAAACAGCGGCCATAAAAAAAATTAAGCTTTTTATAATCTAAGATATTGACATGCTGGTCCCAAAAAACTTACTATTAAAAATAAATAAAAATAAGAACAACATCCAATACTACGTAAACAACTCTCTACTACCATTATATATACATTACTATAAAAAAACTCAACTTCAACCCCAATAGTGTTAATAACAAATATTTTAATCATATACACACCTACACAAATATAGGCTGCATTACTAATACCACCAAAACAGGCCACCTCACACCCTAAATACAATTGCATGCAATGACTTATCTAACCTACTATAACAACAATGCCACCAGAGAAATTTAGATACACACACGTCATTGATTAACCACACCCATAACATCCCCCCCCCCCCCCCCTTCTTCACTCTTTTCATAAATTCTATAAAAAGCCAACAACTGAAACACGTACAATAGGCATATTAAAAGATGAACAACCAACAATTCCACCACGTGCTCCTCTCACTCATTGCTTACATTCGAGAAGTAGCAGATCTTATTGAAGCAGCTCAGACGAAATTACAAGAAGGCTTCACCATGGATGAAACCTCTCACACCTGTCTCTCGACAGATGGTGACAACCCCATCTCCAGAATCCTGAAAACAATCCTGCAAGATACCAAAGAGGAGGACCAGTCCATGGAAGACAACATCTCCTTCATGCTTGGATCAATTCATAAACGAATTGGAAAATACAAACGCACAATCAAAGATACAACTGATGACTAAACGATGGTGTTGTCTTTATGTTTCCCTATGTTTATTTCCTTTACGTTTATGTTGCGTTCATTCCTATCCTTTAGTGTTATCATGTAAAATACCTTCCATATGGGTATATAAATAAATATTATATTACAAACCAACGTACCTTACATAAGCAGTTAACCCACAACCCTCCAATCCACATAACGTCAAACTATCCATTGACAATTTCCACATAAATATTTATCATCATTTAAATGCAACACAGCGCCAAAGGCGCACACTTGATTCCTGCTAGTTAAGTAAAAAAGGATAAATGATAACACAAAGGATGTCAAAGTCATTTCACATAGGTTAACTACTAACCATATAAAAAAAATCACGAGGACCATTCTCATCAAGAAAAAAAAAAGTTAAGGATGAGATATATGACGTTTTTAAAATAAAATAACCATTTATGTATTTTTCTCTATATAAACCGATTAATATAAAAAAGAAAAATGAAACCGTAGATGATGAACTATGTGTTTTGTTATGAATCGACATTAAAACATTTTATTTACATAGTAGGTTATTAAAATTGAAAAAATGTTGTCAATTAAACCACTTAAAAAAATAAAATGATCAAACGTATCTTAGCTGACCTGACATTTAATTACTTGTGGTATTTATTTTGCTAATGGAGTTGATCCGTACACAACAATTTTCTCCTTACACAACAATTGGTGCTTTAAAATGTTGTATTGTACAACTATATAATGCATGAATTATTGTGTATGATAAAAAACTGTTGTGTACGAATCAGTTCCCTTTTGCTAATGTCATATAATATTAAATAATGTAACGATTAAAAACCAAATAACACCCTACGTATGTGTTCAAAACTCCAAAACTCAACATCTGGTTCTAAATTAACATTGTTAAAGCATCAAAACTGATTTTCTTTTATAACTTCTTCCTTCGTATCTTTTTATTCATTAGATAAAACCGAATGCCAAAATAAAGTGAAGAGATTAACACAGAAAATTACATGTCATGATCTTATATAAATAGGAGTCATAATCTTATATATAAGTAGGAGATGAAAACTAGAAAAAAAGATAAAAGTAATTTAAAATTTTGAAACTCAAACCATCTAGTTCTAAATTAATATTAGACAAAATTGCAAAAATGGTTCCTATGGTATGCATTTTTTTGGGGTTTTAGTCCAAACCCTGACTTTTTTGGATTAGTGGTTCTTTTGAGTTAGTTTCATTGCGTTTTTGGTCCATATGAATAGTGAAATGACTGTAATACCCTTGGGGTATTTATTTTCCATTTTCCTTTCATTTCATGTTAAATCTAATACTAATTTCTTTATTTTAATAATTAAAAAAATAACAAAGGACCCACATTCTCTCTCTCTCTCTCTCTCTCTCTCTCTCTCTCTCTCTCTCCATCGTATACCCCCATATACCATATCGTTTTTCTTTTTACCAAGAAGAACTTCATCTTCTTCATCTCTTAATCAAAATTCCCTCTTAATCAAAATTCCACATACACTCACACACACGACATACCTAATCAAAAGAAAAACCATAAAATCCAATTTTTAATTGATGTGTGTATGTGTATACATGAAGTTTTTGTTTTGGAAATCGATTTTTGTATGTTCATCCCCCAAAATCGATTTGTATGTGTATGTTTTCATTTCTAAAATCGATATGTGTATGTGTGTATGAATCTGAAATAGGTTCAAAAGGTATATGTGTGTGTGATTCAGAAATCGCTCATTTTTCCTCTTGTTACTGAGCCTCTCTCGTCCTTCGATATCATGCGATTTGTGTGTTTGTAGTGTTCTTTTGCAAAATCGAATCTCAAGATTTAGAGAGAAGGAGGAGAGGGATTGTTTACAATAATAAGAAAGAGGAAAGATAGGTGGGTTGTCGTTGATATCGGGGCTCCAAGAAATCAGAGCTTCAAGATTAAATAGATCACTCTATTCTTATTTCTGGGATACCAAAAATTACAGATGTGGGTTTGTCAAAATTGTTGACAAACGCAGCCAACTTCAACCGTGGTACTAGAGGCGGTGGTCGTTGATTGCGTTTGGTGATTGATTGTGGTCTATAGACCATATGTTGAAGATTTACCGTGGTTTGGGTGAGTTTTCCGGTGATAGTGAAAATCGAGCCACAAATGGAGAAGATGAATTGAGAAGGGAGTGATGTTGTAAACTGATCCTGACTGTGATGAATAACACAAACAGATATGAAAACAAATGGAGAAGACGAACATATCTGAAAACGAATGGAGAAAACTAACCCTAGATATGATATCTCATTCTTTTTTCTCCATCTCCATTGATAATGACGAGTTCAACAATATATTCTGGGTGTTTTTTGTTCATCTGGATAGTTTTCAGGAAGAAAGAAGATGTGTATTTAGAGAGAGATAGAGAGAGAGAAAGAGATGTGGACCCAAATTAATTATTTAGTTTCTTTTTTATTAAAATATATCAGAAGGACATTATAATCATTTCAATTTTACGAGGAACCAAATTTACGTATAAACATTACCAAAAGGACCACGAATCCAAAATCTCATGATTTGAACTAAAATCCTAAAAAAAAATACATACCTAAGTAACCATTTTTGCAATTTTATAGTAATATTATTACATTAACATTTTTGTATTATCCACTGTCACAAAATTAACACGTGTTCAATACCCAATAAACAATGACAAAGAAGTAGCAGAAGAAACAGACCTTGTTGCATTCATCTATAGATTAGTCTGTGTTCCTACCTCATCGTTATTTCCTATAAAATATCAACTAAAAATCCTGTAGTTTAAGGTATAACTTGTTGACACTTCATTTTTAGTAGATGTTCAAAATTTTACTTGTGAAATTCAAACTAAAAATCAAATACAAAGACTTGATTTGAATGCAAACGAGTAAAATAGCCCATAATTATCGTCGTCGGTGATCTTTCAATTTCAATTTCACGCGATCTTCTTCTCAACTCGTTGATGTAAATTTAAAGTAACGTCATAACAGGTGTTTGCATTTTAGAGGGGGAGGGAAATTATAAACCAAAAAAATCAAACCCCATGTTCTTTCATCAACTGTTTAACCAAGATATGAAGTAATTCAATTCTCTCCATCTTTGATCAGACTTTCAGCCGCCGCCGGAAGTTGAATCGTGGTGGCTGTGACCGGACGCCCGATCGTCAGATCTAACAATGCTTTTGCTTCCCGGAATTTTATAATTAAGGTAGATGTCAATTTTGATGCTTTCTATTTATCCTTTTAACTACAAATTAACTGAAGCATGAGATTCGAGTTGCAAGTTCTGAGCTAATGGATATTGTGCTCATGGCATTGTTTCGAGAGGGCAGAAAAGCGTTTTTGCACATTAGATAGTCATATATATCCATCGGACATTCGAGGTTACTGTATCAGGTCATTGATGGAGGTATTTGAATCGGTAACTTGTTAATCAACGCTTTAATTTCGTGGCTTAGGGTTAGGTTTCAAATGATGAAAAACGGGACAATCGAGTGCAGCTTCTGCCATTCCAAATTGGTAAATCCATCTTCAAAATCGATCTCAAGGGCTTATGATAGGCGTCAGAGTAAACTCTCAAAGAAGCATCGAGCTCTTAATGTTCTCTTGGTAGTTGGTGACTGTATGTTAGTTGGATTACAGGTGATTCCTCATTCTTCCTTCTTCCTTCTTCCTTCTTCCTTCTTCCTTCTTCATTTCTTCTCTTCCAATCACACCATGCATATTCATTCCATTGAAGCTGTTCAAGTTGTGCTCATTAGCTTACATTCTTCCTTCTCTTTTCACAGCCGATTTTGGTGTACATGTGTAAGGTGGATGGGAAGTTCAATTTTAGCCCCATTAGTGTGAATTTTTTGACAGAAGTTGCAAAGGTTATCTTTGCACTTGTTATGCTTTTAATACAGGTAAACAAATCATTGTTCTTTAGGTTTACTTTTTCGCTATTACAATCTCCACATGATTTCACAAACTGAAGAAATATTGTTTTTACAGGCTAGAAATCAGAAGGTTGGAGAGAAGCCACTTCTTTCAGTCTCCAATTTTGTACAGGTAAAAATCAGCTTTTCCATACATTTTCCCATGAGGGTAATTCAGTAATTTCACATTTTTACCTTCATTCTTTCTACAGGCAGCTCGCAACAATGTGCTTCTTGCCATTCCTGCCCTTCTCTATGCTATCAATAATTATCTTAAGTTCACAATGCAGCTGTATTTTAATCCAGCAACTGTGAAAATGTTGAGCAATCTTAAGGTATTTTTTTTTTTTTTTAAACTTTTAATTATTTACCTAAAACTTATTTGTTGATTTTGTTCTTTCTAAAACCCTAAAATCTATAGGTTTTGGTAATTGCTGTTTTGTTGAAGATGATTATGAAGCGAAGATTTTCCATAATTCAGGTTCGTTACTTCATTTGTAACCTTGTAAAACCCTAAAATCTTTATTATATATTGTTTGTTATTAATCGTATTATAAAAAAAAAATGTAAAATTTGGGGTTTTGTTTTGTTTTTTAGTGGGAAGCTCTTGCTCTTTTGCTTATTGGAATTAGCATAAATCAATTGAGTTCTTCACCTAAGGGAACTACTTCAATGGGTGTTTCAATATCAATGGGTGCATATATTTGCACATTTATTTTTGTAAGTTAGATTTTTTTTATTTTTATTGATTAATTAATCATAATTTTATTTATTGTTTTTGTATATATTGAAATAAATTGAGTTTTGTATACAGGTAACTGTTCCATCTATGGCATCAGTCTTCAATGAATATGCACTCAAGAGTCAATATGACACAAGCATTTATCTTCAGGTTATTTTAATATATATATATATATATATATATATATATATATATATATATATATATATATATATATATATATATATATATATATATATATATATTTGAAAAAAACCATCAACCTTCTAATTGTTTCCAAAAAACCCCTCAACTTTTTATTTTTTTTCGAAGAAACCTTCACGTTTACAAGTTTTTTCAGAAAGAAAAAAAAAAAGACTAAAAGGGTCAGATTGAAAAAAAAAAAAACAAAATATAAGGTCTTTTATGAGATTAACGATTTAAAAAAAAAGCTGAGGGTTTTTTAGGAAAAAAAATAAAAAGTTGAGGGTTTTTTTTTGGGTTAATCTCATAAAAAAAACATTATATTTTGTGTTTTTTTCCGGATTAAACTTTAACTTTATTTTTTTTGCCTGAAAAAGACCTTGTATTTTTTCACTTTTTCCGATCTGGCCCTTTTACTTATTTTTTTCCAAAAAAATTTGTAAAATGTGAGGGTTTTTTTCAAGAAAAACTAAAAAAGTTGAGGGTTTATTTGGAAGCAGTTAGAATGTTGAGGGTTTTTTCGGAAAAAAATGAAAAAATATAATTTTTTTTTCAGGCAAAAAATAAAGTTGAGGTTTAATCTGAAAAATACACAAATAATAAGGCCTTTTATGAGATTAACCTTTTTTTTTTCAGAAAAAAGTTAAAGTTAGAGATTTAATCCATAAAAAACCCAATATATAAGGTCTTAATATTATTATATATCTTTCTCAAAATCAATATCACTAATTTGTAAATATTTGTCTGATTGCAGAATCTATTCTTATATGGATATGGTGCAATATTCAACTTCCTAGGGATCCTTGGAACTGTTGTAATCAAAGGTAAACGCAAAATGACCATTCTACCCTTATGCAACCATTAGTAGTTTTTGTTTGTAATAACGAATTCTCAGGTCCTGAAAGCTTTGATATTCTTCACGGACATTCAAAAGCCACCATGTTTTTGATAATAAACAATGCAGCACAAGGGGTATTATCGTCTTTTTTCTTCAAATATGCCGGTAACGTTATTAACTTATTAGTTATTACCATTTATAACAATCTTCATAAATTATTTATTTCTATTTATGGAAATGCAGATACAATTTTGAAAAAATATTCCTCAACAGTTGCCACGATCTTCACAGGCTTTGCATCCGCAGCTTTATTTGGACACACGCTTACTATTAATTTTATTCTAGGAATTTCCATTGTTTTTATATCAATGCATCAGGTATATAAGTATATTTATATAAATAAATAAATGGGGCCCACAAAACTGTTAATAAGCTTTATGCATTGTAATATTTTAATCCGTTTTTTTTTTTTTTTAAAAAGTTCTTTTCACCTCTTTCTAAAGTCAAAGAGGAAGAAGATGGAGTGTTGAAGTTGGAAACGTTTAAGAAGAATGAGAGGTATAAATAATTAAATATATCACATAAGCAATAATTAAAATGTTTGATTATCAATTAAATATCTCAAATGTTGATATATATATATCTTTTTGGTAAAAATAGTATTCGTCAACTTATGAAATTTATTTTGGAAGCAAACACGATATAACCAAAAAAAAAAAAGTTAACGATTACATGATGTATTATTAATATATCTATTGTTTTAGTATTTCATTGTTAATATGTTCAAATAAAAACTAATTTGAAAATAAAATATTGTAGTAATAAGAAACACAAGTACAATTTTGCTATTTATTGAATTTAATTAAAGAAATAATTTTAACAGGTCAAGGGATTCGTCTTTTATTAATATCGCGGCAGGGGCTAACGATGAGGTGTTTTCTTTGTTTGATTCGAATGCTTTTATAAAAAAATTATCTAATTTTTTTTTTATAATTTATTATTTTTTGTGGAAATTTAACTATTTTCTAGGTTCTTCTTCGAGTTGGATCTGAGGAAAGACAGCCACTTCTTCCTACTTGAATTCATATAAAAAGTATGTTGCTCAAATTACAAATTATTTTGTTTAAATGCATTGATATTTAAATAATTTATTATGTTTGTGTTCTTGGAATATAAATTGTTTTGTAGGTTTCTTGTTCAAAGTATTTTTGTGGTGAGGAAGAAAAGATATATGAAGAAATATAATGAACGATGAAAATTGAAATCCCATTTATTGTACCTTTTCATGGGATTTGATTAGAAACTTGGTTTATAGAGGTCAAATACAATAAATAGTTTTCGATTGAGAAAGAGTAAAATATCGGCTTTGTTTTGAGAAAAATGTTTTGGCAACATGTTTGTCATATTTATGAGTCTATTTTTTTAAATGTTAATAGTTAATAGGGATAAGATCATAATTAGTTACTAAAATTATAATTGTGTTCATTTGGTTGATTTTTGTTTATTTATTATTATTATTATTTTGAAACGGCTGAATCATATTAAACTAGCAAGACGCTAGAAAAAACAATTATTGATAATAGAAGAAGGATTATGAAGATAAGGAGTCTAAGGTGTAGTTTATTTTTTCGAAGCGAAAATACCTTAAGTTTGTATACCACCTTTGCAACCTTCTGTAGGAGAGAAGAGAGGGTGATCAAATAGTTGTAACATGTAATAAAAAGTCTGTTTGTTTTTTAACTTCAGCAGACTGCTGCAACAACAAGTTAAAGTAATGTGTGAAGAGGTTTGAAGCAAAAGGTCAAGTGTTGCGTCATGCAGCACACGCGTAACAGTTTTTAAGTCAGAAATCTTCTGAAAAACAAACAGTTGCGTAGAGTCAAGTGTTTCATGGCGCAACAATAAATGGTCTTTAAAAAATCAAACAACACCTAATTTAACTTAACTTTGTTACATCTATTAGAAATCTAAGAGAAAACCTTATCAACTACATCATAAAAAACAAGACCTTTTTTGGGATAACCGTTCAAAAAATAACTACATTCCTAAAAGTCCAAATGCACCAAAACGTTATCAAAACAACTGCATCAAAAATATTACGTTGACCTCCCCTCAATATAACCACACTAGACCAAGAGAAAAGAGAATGCACTAAACACTACAGACGTAAGCCCTACCAAATAGCAATACAACTCAAAATATCAATCGAAACAGAACATCCTATACACTAAAATCTAATAGTCTTCACTGAACAAGAACAAAATGGACACATTATCAACTCCTCCAAAATACCTCTCTCTCTCTCTCTCTCTCTCTCTCTCATAGGAATACTTTGAAGCTGCACCATCTAATTTAGAATATTGAGTTTAATAGGAACATAATTATTCTATTTGGTTACCATATCACCCGAAGTAATCAATCCACCATCAAGAAAATAATAAGTCGAAGAGACTTAAAATATATCTTGATATTAACATCAAGAGACCACTCTAGTTTATCTGGGACGATATCAAGTTGGACATCCTGCATCAATCTCTTGAAAACGATCCACCGAGTCTACTCAATGCACCCTTTAGGCAATCGTCTAACATTGTTCATATACCAACCAAGAGAAATATGATCTTTGATGGTAGAAGTAGGTGATTATCCAAAGCATACAACTTGTGGAAAAAACACCAAGAAAAAGATCTCCCAACCAAACATTATGTCAAAAGGAAGTATAAGCCCCATCATTTGGTCAATTAATTTTTTTAACTTTTAAAAGGTTATTATACTTTTTAAATTCAGCCAAAATGGTCATTATGACCAACAACATGTTTTCATAATTTTCTTTTTAGCTATTTAAGGTTATATGCTTTTTATTTGGTTATAACTAATCACCAAACTTTTAAACTTATTTGTTTTTATTTGTTTTATTTTTCACAATGTGTTTTTATAATTTATTTTTACATGTTTTTTCGCAATTTGCTTTTATAACTTCAATTTTACTGTTTTTTCCCACTTCACTTTTATAATTTCGGTTTTATTGCATTTTTCATTGTTTTCTCACGATTTATTATTTTAAGTTTCATTTTATTTCATTTTCATGTTTTTAGGATCCGTATTTACGACTTTATTTTTTCTTTTGTTTTATATGTTTTTCACAATCTGTTTGGATAACTTCATATATTTATATTTTAAATGTTTTTCTAATAATTCGTTTTCATACATTCATATTTTTACTTCTTTTTACATGTTTTTACAATATATATATATATATATATTTTTTTCACAATCCACTTTATAACTTGGATTTTACAAAACAAAAATAATGAAGATGTCAAATGAATTGCAAAATAATTAAAAAACAAAATAAAAAAATAAAGTAACTGTTAAAATAAATTGTTGAAAACATATAACGTCGAAAGAAAAATTGTGATTTGATGCTGATCCCATTCATTATCTTTTATGTATCCCCAACTTTACACATTGATCCCGAGTTTAACTCAATGAGAGAAAAGAAAAAAATGAGTGGAAGTGAGAAGAAAGTAAAAGAAATTGGTGTTTATGAGTTTTATTAAAGGAAAAAAGTGAAAGAAAATATAACGATCACTTTCCCTCATAACTTTCCTTTCCATTTGGAGAGAGAGCAAAATATTTAATGTGCGTTTGGTTGTGGAAAATTATTTTCATTTTCCAAGAAAATGTTTTTAGAAAATAGAGTTGAGTTTTCATTTTTAATTTTTAATTAAATTTTAGAAAACACGTTTGGTTGAACCAAATTAGAAATTCAGAAAACTTTGAAAAACAGTAAATATCACTTTTCTATACATTCTTTTGGAAAAATTTGAAAATTGAATCAACCAAATGTGTTTTTAAAATTTTCATTTTCATTTGAAAATTGTCATGGAAAACTGGAAAATTTTCCACAACTAAACGCATTCTTAATTTTCCTTCTACTTCTCTCAAACTCGGGAACACAAAAGACAAATTTATTTTCCTTTAATTTCTCTCTGTATTTTCTTTTCTTTTTCTGTTCTTTGCTACAACTCGGAAACCAGGTATTAAGGATTATATATATATATATCATTCTTTTATATCTATCTTTTCTTTTTTTGCTTTGTGTTGCTATTTAAGCAATACTCTCTCTGTTATATTAAGAAAAAAAATAGTATTACATAATATAAAAGGGTTATATAACTCTGATCATGGTATTATATAAAAGATTTAAAACATTTTCATAAAAGATCAACTTAGTAAATTGTTTTAAACATCACCAAATCATATTTTCAAACGTATCAATTTATCATAAAACAACATGTTTCTATAATAAAATTTGTAGCAATGTGTGTGTAGTATAGTCAAATTGGAGCCTTCCCACGATTTGATGAGGAACTACATGAAAATCATTTAATCAACAAGTGTAAGCACAAAGATTAATGAGTTCCCTAAAATACTACATACTAAAATACACATACAAATAAAGGCTCCCGACTCTAGTGACAATCCACATGACCAATGACGACTAAAAGCTCTAAAGCATGTTTAGTCGTGAACAACGACTAACAACTATGATGGATGTCTAGTAATCAACAATAAGTATTCTAGGCTCATAGTTCTAATATTGTTCCACCATCAACCCCTCAACATAATATATCAACATACAATCAAACATTCAACATGCAAAAGACTATACTAGCCTAGTTGCATAATCAACATACTACAATACAACTACATCCTATCATACGAAGGATATGTATATATATATATACACACACACACACACACACACACATATATATATATATATATATATACACTATAACTCATAGTATACTCAGATAACTCACCCGAACTAAAAGTTAAAGAATCACATCTACATACACTCACACATAAGAATCAGTCTCACGAACTACCTAGATAACAATTTGAGGACAAACCTCAAACCTCAATCCATAGCGTAAATCCCTCAATCTTTGACCAAAAGTGAAACTAATCAAAAAGTGAATTGTTAACGACAAATGTGTCGTGACCAAGACCAGGCGCTCCACACCCCACTACATGACTAAATAGTCATGAAATCCCTGTAAGCACGCTGTGACACCCAAAGATCGCACCAACTCTATGGCTTAACAACCTTATTCTATTAAGCACTTATTCCCTTAAGATAGATGCTAAAAAATTCAGACCTAGATCTTCTAAGTGATTTAATGGATAAAATTTCCAACTTTATCAATTTTAATGACTTAATGAGTTATAAACTCTAAAACTAACTCCATAAGGACCAAAACTCATGCATGAAACAAAGGGAAATGCATGAAACTATATTTTCCATCATTAACCAAGTATAGAAGTCATAATAATCACACATAAGGTTCAGGAGTTCTCCAAACTCCAAGAACACTAAGAGAAGGGACCCAAAGCTACTAAAATGACATATAAACTAGATCTAAAAAAATAGATGCCAAGGTTGGAACTTTATGCTCACAACGGTCTAGAAATATGATCAGAATACTGAAGCTAGACTGCAATAAAGCTTCCTTGCATAAATTATGACCTCTTTATCCTTTAATCTTCACAAAAACAAGGAATAAAGCTTAAAACTTTAAAAGGAAGCTAGGGTTTTGGGTGAGGAGATGTTTCTGGGAATGAGGGTTGCTAAATGAGGCAAACCCTAGGGGTAAGTTCATTTAAATAAGGCCTAAATTCTGAGAATTAGGGTTTCTCTTTCCAAATAAGGAGTGCCACACTTTTACTTATGCGCATCGCGCCTGCCACGAGTCAAGCGTGTTGCGGCCAACATATGTCATCGCATCTAGTCTAAAATTCGACATCTTTGATAAAAATACATACCAAGAATCGGGTTTTACAAATCCCCTCCCCACTTGAATCTGATTTCATCCCCGAAATCTGCTATCATAAACAAACTAGGGTAATTCTCACACATCTCCTCCTCAGGTTCCTATATCTATTCTAAACCCTTTCGGTGCTGCCACTATACCTTCACCAAACCAATCATGTTTTTACGCAAGGTCTTAGTCATCCTATCCAAAATCACGACCAAACTTTCCATATAATTCAAATGCTCATCCAAATGAATATCATCCAACATAACCACTATAAACTCGACTATATAATTTCTCAACTGAGAACATGGAAAGTTTTGTGGATCTGGCTGAGCTCATTGGGTATATCCAATTGGTAGGCAATTTCTCAACCATAAAATCACTCTGAAAGGTCTAATATACATGGGGCCCAGGTTGGTCTGATTTGGGAACCGAATGACACCCTTCCAAGGTGACACTTTCAGAATTACAGAATCGTCAACCCGAAGCTAAATATCAGACCAACATTGATCAATATAACTCTTTTGTTGACTGTGTGCAGTCTGTAATCTCCTATATACCTGCTAAATAAGCTTGGTAGTTTTACACACGACATTAATGCTCCACATCATTCTTTGTCCAGCCACTCCCCAATAAATTGAGGTCCTACACTTCTCCATCACC